AAACCTGTTCAGTCAATCCATAATCCTCAACAATACAATTCAAGTAATCAATTTAATTCGATTAACCAATTTAGCCAAATTATAGCATAAACGTATATAACGATCCAAACCATTAAATCTATTCTAAACGCTATTAACTTCATAGTACGGACCTGGATTACGCCGAAATCGAATCGATAGCTCGAACGGAAGACAATTCAACGAAATCAAACGAACGGGTCAAATTGAGTCAAAATACGAAATCGACCAATCAATCCGGCGTGGAGGTTAATCTGCCGGCGATATCAATCCGGGGCAGCGGCTGGGTGCGGTGACGGTGGCGGACGCCGGCGACAGTGGCGTAGCGGCAGCTCGACGGCGATGAGCAGCGACTGGCGGCGCTGCAATTCGACGGCGAGGAAGGACGCCGGCAGTGCAGGCGACGTCCAGTCGCGAGGCGTGGCGGCGCTACAACCCGACGGCGGCGGACGACTGACGAAGGCGAAACAGCGGCGCTGCACTTGACGGCGATGATGGCGGACTTCCGGCGAAGGCGAAACAGCGGCGATTGGCGGCGCTGGACCTTGCAGTGGGCGACGGAGCTGCGTCGATTGGCTGGGGAAGGGCGACCGGCGATGAGCGGCGTTTGGCTCGGGCGACGCCGGCGTGGTCGAACATCAGGGAGGACGACCGGCGAAGAACGGCGTCTGGCGGCTGCAATTGGACGGCGATCGAAGTTGAAGAAGGAGAAGAAAGAAAGAAGAAGAAGAAGAAAGAAAGAAAGAAAGAAGAAAGAAGATAACGATCCTACGGCTGAAATTAGTTTAGGTTTTATCTATTAATTCCAATACTAGTGGTTTGGGCTTCGGGCCCAAATTACCTGATTAAATGGTCATAACATGAGCTCCATAACTCCGATTCACGAGCCGCTTGAACCGACGCGATCACAAAAATATTTCCTACGAGATGACATAAAAGTTGGGCTTAGAATCCAAATTATAATTTTAACCCCTTTTTGGGCCCAACGTTGTATGTAGCCGCGAGGGTAAAAAACATGTCCCCACAATATCCCTCAACGATGCATCACATGACAATGGACATGCTGCGTTACCTAAACCTGGGAGAAGAAGACGCATTTCTAAGCGTATAGGCTGTATGGCACGTGTTGCATTTCGCATCCTTGGACATGATGGTTACGTTCTCAGCATATTCAAAGAACAGCACAATCATCCTCTCACTTCTCCCCCCTACAGGCCATTTTTGAAGATCAACAGGAACATTGATCTAGGCCATAAGAAGTCCATACTCAACTGTGCTAAAGCGAATATTGGCACCATGAAATCATACCGACTTTTCAAGGAGTCTGTTGGTGGGTATTCAAGTGTTGGTGCTACTGCTGTGGACTTCAAAAACTTCAAATGCGATTTGAAGGCCTATATTGGTGGTGGAGATGCTCAAATGGTCATTGACAAATTATTCCGAAAATCAGAAGTATGCCCTGGATTTAGGTTTGATTATGAAGTTGACGAGTAGGACCAGCTGTCCAGGCTATTTTGGTGTGACGCTGCTTCTAGGAAAAGCTACTCCCTGTTTGGTGATGTTGTCTCCTTTGATGCCACATATAAAACCAACAGGTCACACATCTATTAATTTCCATTTATCACATCTCACCTCATACGAATATAGCACGCAACTCTTTGTTGATTCATAGCACTATCCATGTCCTTATCACTTCTTGTAGGTACATGATGATATTCACTCCGTTCACTGGTGTCGACAACCATAAAAAGTGCGTGACATTCGGCTTTGGCTTACTGTCAAGCGAGGACGCTGAGTCATATTCATGGTTGTTGAGATCATTCATGAACGCGATGGGGAATGCTCCAAGCTGCATCATAACTGATCAAGATCCTTCAATGCGAATTGCAATAGAAGAAGTCTTACCACAAACCAAGCATCGCTATTGCATGTGGCATATTATGAACAAACTATCAGGGAAAGTTGGTCTGGTGTTAAGAAAGGATACGGAATTCATGAATCGCATTAATCAGGTGGTCTGGACTCATTACTTGGACAAAAAAGAATGGAAAGCACAATGGCGCAGTGTTATGGCAGACTACAACCTCACGGAGCATTCGTGGTTCAAGTCACTATACACGTTACGTAAGTTTTGGATACCAGCCTATTTCAGGGATCTATTTATGGCCGGGCTATTGCGCACTATGTCTAGATCAGAGAGTGAAAACAGTTTCTTTGACGATTTCACCGACCGCAACTTTAGCCTAGTTGAATTATTAATGCAATTCGAGAGTGCAATGGAGGACCAACAGTTCAAATTTACTCGTTTGAACTCAGAATCCGAGTCGGGGATTCCAGTGTTCAAAACCCCATTAAAGATTGAGAAACACGCTGCATCGTTATTCACTCTCTCTGTCTTTTATGATGTGCAAAAAGAGATTTGTGCATCCTGCTTTTCATGCTCTATTGTATGTATCCAAAACAGTGAGGATGCTTCCGAGTATCAGATCAGTGATGTAAGTGGGATGATATCAATTGTCCACTACTGTGAACGCGATGGGACTGCGCATTGCACTTGCAAAAACTACGAACGCATTGGCTTGCTATGCAGGCACATCTTTGTGGTTTTCAAAACCTGAAAATAGAAAAGATCCCCGACTTGTATGTTACCCACCGCTGGTGCAAATTCCACTTGCTCAAACCAATGTTCGATGTCGGTTGCTCAGAAATGGACAAGGTATCATTTACGGATCAAAATAAGACTCTTGTTTCTCGATTGATGTCAAACATCCACTTTTGTATTGCCTTGGTGGAACACAACCCTGATCTGCTACTTGCATTTTCCAACACTATAAATCAGCACAAGGAGGCGCTAATCGACAAACTTCAAGATGGCAAACTATCATCTGACACATCCTCGGTGTTTGAAAACTTTTGTGGCACTTCTGTACCTTCAGAAGTTTGTGTATTACCCCCTGCGCAAGTTTGCACGAAAGGCAGCGGTAAGCGTATTAAAGGAGGAAAGGAAGTTAGCATTGAAGAATCAAAGAAAACCAAACGCTTGTGTCGGGCATGCAAAGAATATGGCTTCCACGACAGCAGGAACTGTCCTATGAACCATGAGAAGTGATAAGTCTGTTTTCCGGTTCCACTTTTATTGTTTATTAATGTTTCAGTTATTTTTATTCCATTTATATGTCTCTGATTTTTTCCCAACTTTTGTATTCCTGAATTGAAATAATCAATCCCAATGGTTGAATGACTCATTTTCAACACCAATTCACCACCCCCCACCTTCACAGACAAAACTACTCACCTCCCATTATAACATGCTCATTTACTGAATGTATCACCTACTTCTACCCCTGTAGCATTTCATTTTTTAATACTGCATAAATCATTCGCGTCAAAACAGACGACTCTTTAACTGAATTTTCATATAAGATTTGTGCATTCCACCTTTAAAATAGATTTCATACCAATATATGGATATATTGAAGTGGATATGAAGCATATTTTAACATGACTTCATGTATGGATTTGTTTTTTATTGAGGTTTTAAAACCATATAGAGTGGGGTTCTGTTTACTGAAACGTGTTCACCCCGTTCGCAGAACGTATATAAATGGTAACGCATATAATGTACATCATGGCATGTCACAAACAATATATGCGGCTCACACACCCAGAAATGCACAAGCAAATCCCTCGAATGCATCATTTAAACTTTTTTTGGTTCAAGGATTTTTGAGGGAAAAGAAAAAAAATGGTTTTAGCCCCTTTTCCTCAGCAAAATGGGATGAGTTTGATTTCCTTTCCATAAATATATTTTGCCTTGTCACATTCTTTTCCTTCAACTTTTACTCTCTAACCGAACAAGACACAATTATTTTTCCTATTATTTCCTTTTCCTTTGAGATTCCTTTTCAAATGAACACAATTATTTTTCCTTTTCCTTTTCAAATGATTTATTATAGAACTATTAAAGTCATTTAGTGATGCATACATTGGTACTTATGTTCTCTACGTTCATATCACAATGCGGAAACCTTTGTTTCGAACAACTACAATTTCAATCACTTCATCAATCGTTATGTTCACAAATCTCAAAACAAATGTGTATGATAATCACTCAATCCAACCACTTACAACACTCATAATATACGTAATGACAAACACATTCTAAAAAAAATAGACAAGTCTTCATCATCACTCTACACACCACATAAATCAAACCACAAACTCGCCAAATTTGGCAACACCACAACTTCATTCAAAAAACCATAACCATTCACACCATATACAAAAAAACCACTGCCTCTAATCCACACAAAAAAAAACCCAACTATGGGCTGATAACTCGTTCCCAAATAACACTTCCATCAATGAACGGTGTCACCAACATTCACCAACAACAAATTAAAATAATTCAACAAAAACACAAAAGTAAGATGCAGCCATTCAATGGGTGGGTTCACTTAGGATCCTTTTCCTTCCTCTCCCTTTCGAGTTTCTTCGACTCTTCGTAAACCTTGTCCAACAGTGCATTAACTGGGCTTAGAAGTATACATGCACAGTACTTGCATCGCAACAACAGCATAGGTTTCAGATTTCACCTCGACAAGCCACTGTTCCATCCTTTGCCACCATCCCCCATATACGTCTCCATATGACGCATGGTTGCCACACCGTAGTCAAACGTAGCCTTCGGATCTCTCCAAGGGAACGTAATTCTCTTAGCAACCATTTCTCTAACACATTTACCTTTGAAAACAAACCTCTGCTGCTCAATAAAATCACCCAACAACCTCACCTGGTTGAAACATTTCATGTTAATAAATCATCCACATTAATATACCTTATCTTAAAACCATGCACCCAAAGTTTTTACAATTCGTTTTGGCATGTCACCATATCTGTCTTCGTTTTTTGCTTTCGCTGAAGAGCTATCCAAGATGTCACAGCGTCTGCTTTTTAGGTCAACACACAACACATATGCCCAGTTCTGTTGCATAATAGGAAAGAAAAACTGCACATAATCCAAAAAATCACACATTAACAAATTCTCTCAAACACAATGAACTACTGATAAACCACGCAGAACGATACAACCAATTTCAATCTTCACATTGCATCTAGTTCAGCTTTCCCCCAGTTGAAATCATCTGCATGTCATCCCACGCAGGAAGCAGCGCATTTGCAAACATGTTCTTCACGTTCACCTCAGACACATCGACTATATCCCCATTTGCAACCTTTTCTTTTCAAAACATGTCAGTTCAAGCATCATGGGAATCCCCTTTCAAACTTAAGTACGCACACAAAAAAAATAACAGCTTACACAATCCATGCTCCTAGCAAACACACGCAACGGGGATTCCTCACTTCTGAATTTCTCATTGTGGTTGAGTATTATTGACCAGACATCTATCACCCTCTTTGAAATATGCTTCCCTATATCCAACGACGCAATTTCACCTCTTGTTAACTCAAATCCATCCTTCACGAAAACAGCTTCATCCCTAAACATCATAATACTCCCTCCGTCCAAAATTAATGTTCTCACTTTGACTTGGCACGGAGTTAATAAAAATTGAAATTTGCTTTGACTTCCCTAATAAAATGTCCGTAGTGGAAAACATTAATGCTCATTTATTATGAAAACGGTTAGGTTTAATTGGTGGAGTAAATTCTAGGGAGTTACACCCAAAACGGGTGTGATGTAAATGTAGAGTAAAAGCGGAATAAAATAAATAAGTCCAAAAATAAAGATAAAAACAATGGTTGGTTCATGCACAAGTGATTAATTAATTATATGTAAATAAGAAACTCGTCCATGCGCCACCCATCTTCCATCATCACTGTCCACCAGGGTTAGCACCTGTACCGTCGTGTCTACCTGCGTGCAGCAATAACAACTACACGCTCAGCAAAAGCTGACGAGTGAATCTAACAAAAGAACATTAGGTGATAACCCATATGGTTACATACATGTTAATACCTGTACTTAACGTACGGAAAACCACATGTTTACTAACTGATTAGTTTTCACCTCCTGGGGTACTATTACATATAACAAGATGATTGAAACATACATGATGATGATATGACCTGATGCATGACTTAGACTATTAGGGACATCCCTGGCTTAGTTTCACTCGAAAGGATCACCCCTGCACTCCGGTTATCGTACCTGAATGGTAACGAGCCAGGCACGACGAAGATGTCGCAAGTGGACTAGCAAAACTGGGTAGTAGCCGTAACGTGACTACTATGTACGTACACAAGGCCCACATGATGAAAACCCGTTGGATCCCAAAGGTACCAGGACGGGCCCACTGTAAAAGGTGCACGAAAGCCTGACCTCCCTAGAGCGGTATGCACATGATGTAAAAGAAACCTAGGACATGTGTCTAGAATGAACATGATAATTGCTTGATATTTTACCTTTGGTCAACGCCAAGAACATATCAATTAGAAAACACAAATTATGAAGATTAACATTTCATGCAAACAAACGGTCAGATTCTGGGTCAACGTGGTCAACGGGGCTCGTTCCACAAACTGCCCGGAAATCTGCCCGCGGTACGGTCGACCGTACCCCACCGGCGGTCGACCGTGGGCTATGGCATGGGGTCTGGAACTCCGACAGTCCACCGTGGTCTTCCGTCGCGGCCAGCGGTCGACCGTCACGGTGGTGTCCGTCGGACGGCCAAGCGAACGGTCCACCGTTCGTAGCGGCGGTCGACCGTCCCAAAGGCAGTCCGCTGACTTTGGCTTCGTTTTGGTCCATTTTGAAAACTTAACACCTTGATTATTTTTGGAACAATAATATAAACATTTATGAATATATTCCTAGTTATTCCTAGGCCAATATATATAAGTTTTACGTAGTGAATGTTTTGATGGCTAACCTACGAACATGCATAGATTCTACGTAGGTTGCGTACGATATTTCTATGAATATAACGACATAGATTATAACTAAATGTTCTAGAATTAGGTTAGACAACTACTCACCTCTAAACGTAGGGGTTGAAACTACGAAGATGACGAATGAATCGACGAACGATGACTACACTTCACACGAACGATCTAGCTCTCCTTCTCCTCCTTCTCCTTCAACCGTGCACCCACCAGAGCTTCGCCGGAGATTTCCCTTGGCTGCTGGTCTGCCGAACAAAAGGAGGAAGATGGATAGGGATGATGAAAACCTGATGAGGGAATAATAGTGGGGAAGTTACAAAAATGGAATATGATGGGGATGGGAGTGATGGGGTTATAATGGTGGGTTAAGAGGCTATTCAATGGACAATGATGGTGATGTTGAGGGGGCCGAACCAAGGGGTTTAGGGGGGGTTACAAATATTTATTTTACTCCGTTATGTAAAAATGTAACGCCC